CCAGGGAATTCCCGAAATTCCTTCCCTGAGAGGAATCGGGATGGGGGTGGCTCCAACGCCAGGCTGGAATGGAGAGAATTCCTTGGGATAAAAGGGAAAAATTTGGGAAGGAATTCCCAGAGAATCCTTTGGAATATCCAAAGTAAAGGTGGAGCACCCTGGGATTGGGATTGGGATTTGAAATCCAGGGATCCCACCTGAAGAATTCCAGGATTCTGGGATCCAGGATCCATCCTCAGGGATTTTTATGGAATTCAGGGATGGAAAAGGGAAGTGGAGCCCCGAATTCCCAGGGAATTCCCGAAATTCCTTCCTGGAGAGGAATCAGGGCTGGGAATGGGGTGGGATTGAAGATCCTGGAATCCCATCCCAAACCATCCCGGGATTTTGGGATCCATCCTGAGGGATTTTTATGGAATTCAGGGATGGGAAAGAGAAGTGGAGCCCCGAATTCCCAGGGAATTCCCGAAATTCCTTCCCTGAGAGGAATCGGGATGGGGGTGGCTCCAACGCCAGGCTGGAATGGAGAGAATTCCTTGGGATAAAAGGGAAAAATTTGGGAAGGAATTCCCAGAGAATCCCTGGGAATATCCAAGGAAAAGCTGGAGCACCCCAGGATCGGGATTGGGATTTAAAATCCATGGATCCCACCTGAAGAATTCCAGGATTTTGGGATCCAGGATCCATCCTGAGGGGTTCTTATGGAATTCGGGAATGGAAAAGAAAAGTGGAGCCCCGAATTTCCAGGGAATTCCCGAAATTCCTTCCCAGAGAGGAGTCAGGGGTTGGGATTGAAGGTCCATGGATCCCATCCCAAACCATCCCGGGATTTTGGGATCCATCCCGAGGGATTTTTATGGAATTCCAGGATGGAAAAGGGAAGGGAGACCCTGCCTGGAGTCCCCAATTCCCACAGAATTCCTAAAATTCCTTCCCAGAGAGGAGTCAGGGGTTGGGATGGGATGGGATTGAAGATCCATGGATCCCACCTGAAGAATTCCAGGATTCTGGGATCCAGGATCCATCCTCAGGGATTTTTATGGAATTCAGGGATGGAAAAGGGAAGTGGAGCCCCGAATTCCCAGGGAATTCCCGAAATTCCTTCCCAAGGAGGAGTCGGGATGGGGGTGGCTCCAACCCCAGGCTGGAATGGAGAGAATTCCTTGGGAAAAATTTGGGAAGGAATTCCCAGATAATCCCTGGGAATATCCAAGGAAAAGCCGCGCGAACTCCCGGAATTCCCGGACTCAGCCGGAATTCCCTGAGGAATCTCTTCCCGGTTTTTATTGTTTTTATTATTATTTTTAATTATTTTTTGGTGTTTTCGTTTCCCAGCCCGGCGCCTCAAGGGTTACGGCGGGAGGCGGGAGCGCCGCGATCCCGGGAAAATCCCTTCCCGGTTTTCCAGCCTCCATCCCGAGCTTCTCCCATCACCCGGGAAGCTCCAGCGGGAAGAGGATGCGGGAATCCGGGATAAGGGCGGGAGCGCATCCCGCTGTTCCCGGCTTTTCCCCGGGTTTGGTTTTTTTGGGAGTTTTTTTTTTGGGTTTTTTTTTTCCCGGTTTTTTCCCGGATTTTTCCCCGGGTTTTGCGGATCCCGGCGGGAAGGAGGAGCAGGGGAGGCATCGCGACATCTCTGGGGCTGAGCTGGGAAAGCTGGGAAAGCGCCTGGAAAAGGAGCTGGGAGCCGGGAATCCGCCGGGAATCCGCCGGGAACTGGCCCGGAAGGAACCGGGAGAGAACCGGGAATAATCCGGGGAAAACCCGGGAAGCGGCGGGGAAGGAACCGGGAATTGGCCGGGGAGGAATTCCGGGAATCAGCCGGGAAGGAGACGGGATTTGGCCGGGAAGGAATTCCGGGAATCAGCCGGGAATTGACCGGGAAGGAACCGGGAATTGGCCGGGAAGGAATTCCGGGAATCAGCCGGGAGAAAAATCGGGAAGGAATTTGGGGAATCAGCCGGGAATTGGACGGGAAAGGAACCGGGAGGAAACCGGGAACTGGCCGGGAAGGAATTCCGGGAATCAGCTGGGAAGGAGCCGGGATTCGGCCGGGAAGGAATTTCGGGAATCAGCCGGAAAAAAACCGGGAAGGAATTTGGGGAATCAGCCGGGAATCGGCGGGGAAGGAACCGGGAAAGGATTTTGGGAATCGGCCGGAAAGGAGCCGGGATTTTGCCGGGAAGGAGCCGGGGCTTTGACCGGGAATTGTCGGAGAAGGAATCTGGGGAACCACCCGTGAATCCCGGCCTGCCGAATTCCCGCCGCTGGAATTTTCCCGGGATTTGCGGCAGGCCCCGCCGGACGGCGATGCCGCGCGTGACGCCGCGCTGAGCATCCCGCGACTCCCCCCTGGAAAACCGGGAATTCCGGAGCCAGCCCGCCGCAGGATGCCGAGGAACCGCGCCTTCTCCGAGCCGGAATTCTCGGCCGAATACTCCGCCGATTATTCCTTGAGTTTCCCGTCCGATCCCGACGGGAATCTCCGCCGCTCCCGGGAATCCCCGGCCCCGCAGGGCTGGGGGGGGCCCTGCCCCTGCCTGCCGCATTCCCGGCGCTTTTCCTTCTCGCCGGAATCCCTGGAAAAGCTCTACCAGACTTATTTCCGCCGCCAGCGCCACGAGACGCTGCTGGTCCTGGTGGTCTTCTCCGCCCTCTTCGACTGCTACATCCTGGGAATGTGCGCGGCGTTTTCCCGCATGGAAAAACTTTTCCCGGCGCTGGCCGCCCTGGCCGGCTTGGTGGCGCACGGCTGCGTTTTCCTGCTGCTGAAATCCCGGCTGCTCCCGGAGGATTTTTCCCAGAAATTCCTGCCCGGCGGGCTGTGGGCGCTGACGGTGGCGCAGCTCTGGGGCTTGCTGGGCTGGGAATTCCAGAGGAGTTTTCCAGAGGCGGTGGACGCGGCGGGCTGGCAGGCGTTCTTCGCCTTCTCCTGCTTCCTGACGCTGCCGCTGCGCCTGGCGCGGATCCTGCTGCTGGCGGCCGCCTCCTGCGGCGGGCACGCGCTGGTCCTGGGAATCCTGGAGCTCCAGAGGGGCCGGGAGAACCGCCTGGATGCGGGGCAGGTGGCCAGGCAGGTGCGGGAATGGGCTGGGAATGGGCTGGGAATGGGACGGGAATTCCATGGATGGAGGGGTTCTGGCCAGGCAGGTGCAGGAACTGGGCTGGAATGGGACGGGAATTCCATGGATCGAGGGGTGCTGGCCAGGCAGGTGCGGGCACAGGGCGGGAATTCCATGGATGGAGGGGTGCTGGCCAGGCAGGTGCGGGAATGGGCAGGGAATGGGCTGGGAATTCCATGGATGAGGGGGTTCTGGCCAGGTGGGTGCGGGGATGGAGCAGGAATGGGCTGGGAATGGTGGGAATTCCATGGATGGAGGGGTGCTGGCCAGGCAGGTGTGGGAACGGGGCGGGAATTCCATGGATGGAGGGGTTCTGGCTGGGCAGGTGCAGGAACGGGGTGGGAATGGGCTGGGAATGGTGGAAAAAGGATTGGGAATGGACAGGGAATGGGGTGGGAATGGGCTGGGAAATGGATGGGAATAGTGGAAATGGGCTGGGAATGGTGGGAATAGGTAGGGAATGGGATGGGAATGAGGTTGGAATGCTGGGAATGGGCTGGGAACGGCGTGGGAATGGCGCGGATCCTGCTGCTGGCGGCCGCCTCCTGCGGCGGGCACGCGCTGGTCCTGGGAATCCTGGAGCTCCAGAGGGGCCGGGAGAACCGCCTGGATGCGGGGCAGGTGGCCAGGCAGGTGCGGGAGTGGGCTGGGAATGGGCTGGGAATGGGACGGGAATTCCATGGATCGAGGGGCAGGTGGCCAGGCAGGTGCAGGGACGGGGTGGGAATTCCATGGATCGAGTGGTTCTGGCCAGGCAGGTGCGGGGACGGGGCGGGAATGGGACGGGAATGGTGGGAAAGGGGTGGGAATAGGCAGGGAATGGGGTGGGAATGGGCTGGGAAATGGATGGGAATAGTGGAAATGGGCTGGGAATGGTGGGAATAGGCAGGGAATGGGATGGGAATGAGGTTGGAATGCTGGGAATGGGCTGGGAACGGCGTGGGAATGGCGCGGATCCTGCTGCTGGCGGCCGCCTCCTGCGGCGGGCACGCGCTGGTCCTGGGGATCCTGGAGCTCCAGAGGGGCCGGGAGAACCGCCTGGATGCGGGGCAGGTGGCCAGGCAGGTGCGGGAATGGGCAGGGAATGGGCTGGGAATTCCATGGATGGAGGGGCAGGTGGCCAGGCAGGTGCGGGAGTGGGCAGGGAATGGGCTGGGAATGGGACGGGAATTCCATGGATGGAGGGGTGCTGGCCAGGCAGGTGCGGGAACCGGGCGGGAATGGGACGGGAATTCCATGGATGGAGGGGTTCTGGCCAGGCAGGTGCAGGAACTGGGCTGGAATGGGACGGGAATTCCATGGATCGAGGGGTGCTGGCCAGGCAGGTGCGGGCACAGGGCGGGAATTCCATGGATGGAGGGGTGCTGGCCAGGCAGGTGCGGGAACCGGGCGGGAATGGGACGGGAATTCCATGGATGGAGGGGTTCTGGCCAGGTGGGTGTGGGAATGGAGCAGGAATGGGCTGGGAATTCCATGGATCGAGGGGCAGGTGGCCAGGCAGGTGCAGGGACGGGGTGGGAATTCCATGGATCGAGTGGTTCTGGCCAGGCAGGTGCGGGGACGGGGCGGGAATGGGCTGGGAATTCCATGGATGGAGGGGTTCTGGCCAGGCAGGTGTGGGAATGGAGCAGGAATGGGCTGGGAAAGGGATGTGAGTGGTGGCAACGGGGTGGGAATGGTGGGAATTCCATGGATCGATGGATGCTGGCCAGGCAGGTGTGGGAATGGTGCAAGAATGGTGGGAATGGACAGGGAGCAAGAAGAATTCCATGGATGGAGGGGTTCTGGCTGGGCAGGTGCAGGAACAGGGCGGGAATGGGACGGGAATTCCATGGATCGAGGGGTGCTGGCCAGGCAGGTGCGGGGATGGGCTGGGAATTCCATGGATGCAGGGGTTCTGGCCGGGCAGGTGTGGGAACCGGGCGGGAATGGGCTGGGAATGGGACGGGAATTCCATGGATGGAGGGGTTCTGGCCAGGCTGGTGCGGGAATGGAGCAGGAATGGGCTGGGAATGGTGGGAAAGGGGTGGGAATTGGCAGGGAAAGGGATGGGAATGAGGTCAGAATGCTGAGAATGGGCTGGGAATGGTGTTGGGAATGGTGGAGCTCCAGAGGGGCCGGGAGAACCACCTGGATGCGGGGCAGGTGGCCAGGCAGGTGCGGGAACCGTGCGGGAATGGGCTGGGAATTCCATGGATGGAGGGGTTCTGGCCAGGCAGGTGTGGGAATGGAGCAGGAATGGGCTGGGAAAGGGATGTGAGTGGTGGCAACGGGGTGGGAATGGTGGGAATTCCATGGATGGAGGGGTGCTGGCCAGGCAGGTGTGGGAATGGACAGGGAATGGGACGGGAATTCCATGGATGGAGGGGCAGGTGGCCAGGCAGGTGCGGGAATGGGCAGGGAATGATGGGAACAGCTGGGAATGGAATTGGCGGGGAAAAGGATGGGAATGAGGCTGGAATGCTGGGAATGGGCTGGGAATGGTCCTGGGAATGGTGGAGCTCCAGAGGGGCCGGGAGAACAACGTGGATCCAGGGCAGGTGGCCAGGCAGGTGCGGGAATGGGCAGGGAATGATGGGAACAGCTGGGAATGGAATTGGCGGGGAAAAGGATGGGAATGAGGCTGGAATGCTGGGAATGGGCTGGGAATGGTGGGAATTCTATGGATCGATGGGAAGTGGCCAGGCAGGTGCGGGAATAGACAGGGAATGAAAAGGGAACTGAGCTGGGAATGGGTGGGAATGAACAGGGAATTCCATGGATCGAGGGGTGCTGGCCAGGCAGGTGCGGGAATTGGGCGGGAATGGGCTGGGAATGGTGGGAATTCCATGGATTGAGGGGAGGCGGCGAGGCAGGTGCAGGACCAGGGCTGGGAATGATGGGAATGGACAGGAAATGGACAGGGAATGGGCTGGGAATGATGGGAACAGGGTGGGAATGGGGCAGGGAATGGTGGGAATTCCATGGATCGAGGGGTGCTGGCCAGGCAGGTGCGGGAATGGGGAGGGAGTGGGCTGGGAATGGTGGGAATGGACTGGGAATGGTGGGAAGGGGGACAAGGAATGGTGGGAATGGGGTGGGAATTCCATGGATCGAGGGGTGCTGGCCAGACAAGCACGGGAATGGAAAAGGAATGGGATTGCAGTTTTTCCAGGATTTGGGATTTGGGATCGGAACTTTTCCTGGAGGATTTGGTAACTGGGATCTCGGTGTTGGAGCTTTTCCTGCAGAATTTGGGATCTGGGATCGCGGGTTTTCCAGCAGGATTTCGGATCTGGAATTGCCTCTGTGCTGGAGTTTGTCCTGCAGATTTTGGGATCTGGGATCGGAACTTTTCCCGCAGGATTTGGGATTTGGGATTTGGGTTGGGAGCATTTCCCACAGAATTTGGGATTCGAGATCCTCCTCCATGCTGGAGTTTCTCCTGCAGAATTTGGGATCCGGGATGGGAGCTTTTCCCACAGAATCTGGAATTTGGGATGGGAACTTTTCCCGGAGGATTTGGGATTTGGGATGGGAGCTTTTCCCACGGGATTTGGGATCTGAGATCTCCTCCGTGTTGGAGATTTTTGTGCAGAATTTGGGATCTGGATCAGAATTTTTCCCACAGAAAATTTGGGATTCAGGATGGGCGCTTTTCCCGCAGAATCTGGGATTTGGGATCTCCTCCATATTGGAGTTTTTCCCAGAGGATTTAGGACCTGGGATTGGAACTTTTCCTGCAGGATTTGGGATTTGGGATCTGAGATTTTCCCACAGGATTTGGGATCCAGAATTGGAGCTTTTCCCACAGATTCTGGGACCTGGGATTGGAAATTTTCCCACAGAATTTGGGATCTGGGATTGGAACTTTTCCGGCAGAATTTGGGATCTGGGATCTGAGCTTTTCCCACAGAATTTGGGATTTGGGATGGGAGCTTATCCCACAGGATTTGGGATCCAGGATTGGAGTTTTCCCCACAGATTTTGGGAGCCACGATCTCCATGCCGGAGCTTTTCCCACAGAATTTGGGATCCGGAATCTCCTCCTTGCCGGAGCTTTTCCCACTAAATCTGGGATCTGGGAAGTGTTTTGGATCTCAGATCACATCAGGAGAGTTTTTTTGGGATGAGACTCACGGAAGGGCATCAGGACACTCATGGAAAAGCAGCTGGAATGGGATGGGTTAGAGGATTCCCGGGATTTTCAGGATTCCCAGGATTTTCCACATTCCTGGGATTTCCAGCATTCCCGGTGTTCCCAGATTTCCATGGCTATCCATGGGAACGGGATCCAGCCAATGGGGTCAGGATCCAGCCCATGGGGTCAGGATCCAATCCATGGAATCAGGATCCAATCCATGGAATCAGAATCCAATCCATGGGGGCAGGATCCAGCCAATGGGAACAGGATCCAATCCATGGATCTGGATCAATCCTGTGGGATCAGGATCCAATCCATGGGGTCAGGATCCAATCCGTGGGGTCAGGATCCATCCCATGGGGTCAGGATCCAATCCGTGGGGTCAGGATCCAATCCATGGGATCAGGATCCAATCCATGGGGTCAGGATCCAATCCATGGGGTCAGGATCCAATCCATGGGGTCAGGATCCAGCCCGTGGGGTCAGGATCCAATCCCAGTTGCGGGAATGGGGCGGGAATGGGCTGGGAATGGTGGGAATTCCATGGATTGAGGGGTGCTGGCCAGGCAGTTGCGGGAATGGGGCGGGAATGGGCTGGGAATGGTGGGAATTCCATGGATTGAGGGGTGCTGGCCAGGCAGTTGCGGGAATGGGGCGGGAATGGGCTGGGAATGGTGGGAATTCCATGGATTGAGGGGTGCTGGCCAGGCAGTTGCGGGAATGGGGCGGGAATGGGCTGGGAATGGTGGGAATTCCATGGATTGAGGGGTGCTGGCCAGGCAGTTGCGGGAATGGGGCGGGAATGGGCTGGGAATGGTGGGAATTCCATGGA